CACCTTTGATAAGTTAAAAGGAGCACCTTGGAGAACAACATGTTTATACACTCTACCTGAGGAGAAAGACCCACAGAGCCCAATAAACTTGCCATCAATGCATCATTTTGCTGGGGCAGCAACATGTCTTGCTATGAGCTGATGACTTCCTCTGGCCTGTACTTGTATTAAAGATTAAGGATGTCTGGCGTGTACAAAGGAAGAACAAGGTTGATAATAGCCTTTAGGGGGATGGAAAGAGTGCATGTGACACCCAGCCCCAGCCCCTGGCTCAGCTCCCCTATCTAGGGGATTCAGGGTTCGTTACCAGCTGATCTCTAACCTCCTGTGTATAAGGATTTGAAAATGTTCTGATCCCCTCAAAAAAAAAAAAAAAATCTAAAAGAAAAAAACATAAGAAATCTGGCTTTAAATGCTGCTTATTTCTTATTCATCATTTTCAAACACTATTGAGTAAGTTAGTGATTTCCTGTTAGGTTTTGAGGAGTTTTCCCCATTTGCTTAGCCTCTTGGAAAAGCCTGGCGTCTCTTTTCCCAGCAGGAATGGCTTTCTTTTTTTGTAATTTTGGTTGCACTGGGTCTTCGTTGTCACACACAGTCTTAGTTTCCCCACAGTGTGTGGGATCTTAGTTCCCCAATCAGAGCTCAAACCCATGTCCCCTGCATTGGAAACTGGATTTTTAATCACAGGGCCACAAGGGAAGGTCCCAGAAGTGGTTTTCTGCTTGAAGCAGGCCAATAATGCCCAGGTCTGAGAGTCATAAAAAATTTCAAGCAGTGGGCTTTAGCTATGCATTTGGACATGAAATCCAAGGATATAAATCCAAGCCTAAAGTGCATGGAAGGATAGAGCCATAGGTTCCTTCCACAGGGGCCATATGAAAAAAACTGATAGATGGGAGTCCAACATAATGGAAGGATGTGAACTTTGGGGCAAGGCAAGCCTGAATTTGAGCCCCGTACACTAGTTGTATGGTCCTAGATATACCATTTAACTCATTAGGCCTTGGTTTCCTCTTTTGTAAAATAAGATTAATAGAAACCTTTCAAATGGAATTGTTAGCATTAGAGAGAATATTTGTAAAATGTTTTGCACATTTCTCTTAAGAAATAGTAATTATGATTTTGGTTTTGCGTTGAGAGTGACGTAATGGATTCTGTGTCCCGCCCAGTCCCCCGGGGGGTGCCATTGGCAGTGGTCCACACCCCGTGATTGCCCAGGGAGGGGTATACAAGACCTGGCTGTTTTGTTTCTGAAGGACCATTCTAGCTCCAGAGCTCACCGTGGTTCAGCCAAGCCGACACCCGGCCCACATCAGTTTGCCTTCTCCCTCCGCCCAGTCCAGCTTTCTTTCCATGACTGTCAATTCCACAAGCCCTCCTTAAAAACATCCTGTGTGCTAAACCCCATTCTAGAGCCATTTTCCTATGTAGCCTGTGACAAGTGATAAGGCAGGTATCCAATCCTGTGTTATTTATCACCTGTTGATCTGAAGCCCAAAGATCCTGGGCACCTTGGCCAGGTGTCAGGAAGTATTTTAGAAAGACAGGCAGAGCATCAGAAAATCTGTGAGAGAAAGAAGAAACACCTAGAGACATGAAATTTGCCCGTAGGGAGATGTCTGATAATTTCCAGAAATTAAAAACATCCTGAATCCTATGCTCCATGATCCTAGGAGCACGGCAGTGTTTTCCAACATCAGCTCCCTGAAAGGAACTTGGCGCTGAGATTCACATCAATATAATTATGCAGATGTAATGATTAGTCTTTTCCAGTATTGAACTTTTAATTTTCTTTCCAATGGCAGGGACCCAGCTAGAGACCTTCCTGGAAGCAGAGCTGTGTTTCCCTTTCCCTGGAAGGATCTAAGAGGACTTTTCCATAGTTCACAGCAGAATGTAAAATGACCAGACTCATTGAGTTATAATAGTTTCACGTAAATGGTCTTCACTGTCTCAGACCTACTAGAGGCAGTTTCCAGAATTGAATGAATTCTGTTTAGTTACTCTTCCCATTTACTTTGAGCAATGGCCCTGAGTTTTTTTAAATTAATTAAACTAGCGATAAGTGTCTTAATAAACATTACTTTGTAAAATTACTGGATTTACCCTTTTTCCCCCCACTCCCTTTCTTAATCCTCACTTAAGACAAACCTGGAGCGTGATAACTCTGGTCAACCGAAAAGAGAATCAAGGACTCTGGGCCACAAGGGGACATGAGATCATTTAGACAGAGGGAAACTGAGGCTCAGAGAGAGGGATGACTTGCCCAAGAGATGGCACTCAGGATTCGCCTTTCCTTACTCCCTCATGCCCCAGCTCCCTGCTCAAAGCTGAACACAGAAGACTTGCATCCCTGGCATGGAACCCACCTCGTACCCATCCACTTTGCCATCCCCTGATAGAGGCGTGTCTGTATCCTCTCCCAGCAAAGAGAAAGGAGAAGACTGGATGGTCATGACAGCCCAGACAGAGGGCTGACTGAGAGGCTGAAGGAGCACAGATCGGGGAGGAGGCAGCAGCAGGCAGAGGTCTGGGGCAGCTCCCAGCCCACCTCCTAGACAAGAGACCCTGGAGGCCAGGAGAGAAATGTTCTGGAACAGACTCCAGCCCCTGGCAGAACTGAGGCGAGAAGGGAGCTCTTCTCTGAATTGGGTTTGATGATACCTGCCAGCTTTATTTTCTGATGATCTAGTTCATGGCAAAAGGGCAGTGAATTTTGTGCTACTTAGCCACTGAAAGTAGATGGTAATTGGGGACTTACTTGAACTTTGCAGCCAGAATTGGGCAGCTGCCCACTGTCATGAAAGGCAGAGTTTGGAAACCTGGCAGGAAGGAACAGAGTGCCTCTGTAGTATTAAATTCCCAAGCCTAGGGCACTGAAGTTGGTACTCTTAGTACAAGAGAACGTGAAAGATAAATAAAAGTGAGAATCGTACCAACAGACCTGGATTGTCGTGGAGTTCAAATACCTACTTTCTCTCCACCACACTCCATCAGGCCTTGCCCTGTAAGCTGCTAGTGACCAACAGGTGCTGGAGAAGGGTGGATCTAGCCCTGTGAGCCCCAGACCATCAGCTTTGGCATCACTGGATCTCATTAGGCCCCCTCCAGACCCACAAAACCAAATAGTCTAGAAGAGGGGCGCAGCATTCTGTTTTAACAACTTTCCAGGTGGTTCCAGTACAGGCTCCAGTTGGCACCACTGGTCCAGAGCATGGTACGGTGCTGAATTTATTAAGGAAACTCTGTTTTCAAAAGAGCTAGCCGTTGCCTCCTACCTCACCTCTCCTCTCCACCCTGCTCCACCACTGACATAGCTGCTGTTGGGAGATTTGGGGTTTGCCCTATTGCTTCCCCCGGCCTCAGCATTTGCACAGTAAACCATCTTCCCACCATCTGCTTGTCTTCTGGCCCCAGCTGTCTCACTCCTCTCCTGGGACTTCCAGTTTTGTTGTTCCAATGACGTTGTCTCCACTTATTGCTGGGAAAGGGGGTAGGGCATCCGTCAGTGGGACCAGAGACCAAGAGCTGGCCCTGGAGCCCTCACTCAGAGTCCTGTCTGCTCTGATGAGAGACTTTTCAAGGGAGGCCCTGGCTGTCCTCCTTAGGAGAAGCAGTGAGAATGACCAGTCTGGTCCTAGCTAAGGACGCCAGCAGCTGTGAGTGACTGGGTGAGCTCCAGGGAACGTGGGCATCATAACTGGAAGCCATGAGCTCTGCTTGTCCCTACCTCCCCCTTCACCTGCCAGCAGGATGGGCAGTCGTCTGCGGACTCCAGGAGGAAGTCCACTGGATTCTTCTCCCGTGTAGGTTATTAGGGAGTATAGGGTAGAATTCCCTGTGCTGTACAGAAGGTCCTTATTAGTTATCTATTTCATATATAGTAGTGTATCTATATCAATCCCAATCTCCCAATTTATCCCTTTCCCCCCGGGTAACCTTAAATTTGTTTTCCACATCTGTGACTTGATTTCTCTTTTGTAAATAAGTTCATCTGTACCATTGTTTTTTAGATCCCACATATAAGCAATATCATATGATATTTGTCTTTCTCTATATGTCTTACTTCACTCAGTATGAGAATCCCTAGGTCCATTCATGTTGCTACAAATGGCATTATGTTGTTCTTTTTCATGACTGAGTAATATTCCATTGTATATATGTACCACATCTTCTTTAGCCACTCCTCTGTCAGTGGACATGTAGGTTGCTTCTATGTCTTGGCTATTGAAAACAGTTCTTCAGTGAACATTGGGGTGCATGTATCTTTTTAAACTATGGTTTTCTCTGGATATATGCTCAGGAGTAGGACTGTGATCATATGGTAGTTCTATATTTAGATTTTAAGGAACCTCCATACTGTTCTCCATAATGGTTGTATCAATTTACATTCCCACAAACAGTGTAGGAGGGTTCCCTTTTCTCTACACCCTCTCCAGCGTTTATTGTTTGTAGGTTTTTTTGCCCTTCTGACAGGTGTGAAGTAATACCTTATTGTAGTTTTGATTTGCATTTCTCTAATAATTAGCAATTATTGAGCATTTTTCATGTGTTTTTTGGCCATCTGAGTGGTCTTTGGAGAAATATCTATTTAGACCTTCTACCTACTTTTTGTTATTATTCAGTCACTGAGTTGTGTCTGACTCTTTGCGACCCCATGGACTGCAGCATGCCAGACTTCCCTGTCCTTCATTATCTCCCAGAGTTTGCTCCAGCTCACATCCAATAATTCAGTGAGGCCATCCAAACATCTCATCCTCTGTTGCCCCCTTCTCCTTCTTTCCTCAGTCTTTCGCAGCATCAGGGTCTTTTTCAATGAATCAGCTCTTCATATCAGGTGGCTAAAGTATGGGGAGCTTCAGCTTCAGTATCAGTCCTTCCAGTGAATAATTTAGGATTGACTGGTTTGATCTCCTTGCTGTCCAGGGCTCTCTCAAGAGTTTTCTCCAGCACCATGGTTAGAAAGCATCAATATGGCGATTCCCCGCCCCCTTCGGGTTCGCTCAGGGAGTCAGGCCCCTGGCCGCCACCGTCACCTCGGCCGCTGCCGCCGCCATCGCCTTCATCCTTCGTCCCCCACCATGGCCGAGGAGCTCTCTGCGGCCACGTCCTACACCGAAGATGATTTCTACTGCCCTGTCTGTCAGGAGGTGCTCAAAACGCCCGTGCGGACTGCCACCTGTCAGCACGTTTTCTGTAGAAAGTGTTTCCTGACTGCAATGAGAGAAAGTGGAATACATTGTCCCCTCTGTCGTGGAAGTGTGACTAGAAGAGAGAGAGCATGTCCTGAACGGGCCTTAGACCTTGAAAATATCATGAGGAAATTTTCTGGTAGCTGCAGATGCTGTGCAAAACAGATTAAATTCTATCGCATGAGACATCATTACAAATCTTGTAAGAAGTATCAAGATGAATATGGTGTTTCTTCTGTCATTCCAAACTTTCAGATCTCTCAAAATTCAGTAGGGAACAGTAATAGGAGTGAAACATCTGCATCTGATAACACAGAAACTTACCAAGAGAATACAAGTTCTTCTGGGCATCCTACCTTTAAGTGTCCCTTGTGTCAAGAATCAAATTTTACCAGACAGCGTTTACTGGATCATTGTAACAGTAATCACCTATTTCAGATAGTTCCTGTGAATCTTCAGCTAGATGAGGAAACCCAGTATCAAACTGCTGTTGAAGAATCTTTTCAAGTAAACATCTGAAGGCTGTAGACACCTCTGCATCTTTGTACCTGCAAGTGCCATCTTTAAGGAGAAAACTACAGGAAGTCACCATTTCAATAACTTGATGTGTATATTAATAAAAGTAATTCAGTCTATTGTTTTAGTTTAATTGAAAAATAAAGGTGGGCCATGTAAAAACTTAATTCTTTTGATAAGTTAAAAGATAAAGCTTAGGACATTATCTTTATAAACATTAAAAGGATTATATTTCATTAATAGTGAAAAGAGAATCCCTATTGTACTTATCTTTTTTGCATTACATATTCTTGAATTTTTCCTTACTTTTGAAATTTGGTGCAGTTCCTCCCATTGACATTATTGTACACAGGTAACACAGTACCAAATTCTGAATGATGTGATTAATATAAACCTAACAAAACTGAGCCAGTTATTTGAGTTGCACATGGAGACTTGAAGTGCTAAATGAAACAATCCAAAGGAAACTTTTTTAAATACAGATTCTAGCTGAAGAATTCAACTATAAAAAAATTGTATTTATATAATGTTTAGTATTTTTGAAGACTAGTGAGATTTCTTTAATAATTTTAACTCTTTAAAAAGCAAAAGCTCATTGTATAGAAATTTCCTTTTTGCTGTTAGAAGGAAATATCAAGAGAAAAATTGATTTCTTTGGTGAAGAGTTGTCAAATCTTGTTTGTTTGTTTGGCTGACTAATTTGTAAGCCTCAAGTACAGTAAGTTGAATTACAGCTCTTTGGCCTCAGAATTTTCAGTAACAGAATTGCTAGTTAGCTATGATAAACTTTTTATTAGAAACTTGCAGTTGGTGATATTACATTCTCTCTATATATTTAAATGAGAGGTTTGACTTCGTCTCAATTTAGAAATTTGTTCAAAGCTCAAGACGTGTATGTATATATACATGCACTTTTGTATGTGTATATACACATGTAAGCATGCAATTTGTCTGGTTATATGCAGAATTTCTATTAAGATTTCTAAAAGGGACAAGTAATATGGGGTTGATGTGTTTATCTGAGTTGATTAAAATTTTGTATGTTACCAAAATTTTTAAAGTAACAGTCAAATGCTAAGTTATCTACTTGGCTACTCTGACACCTTAAAAATTGAGTTTACACACCTACATAATTATATGTTTATATGGTGCTCATTTGTTATCTTAAAGATAATGAGGGACTATAGTAGTGAGATGGATCCTACCAGCCACTCTGTTTCACTACATTTTAGTCAAAATTGAGTTCATTCTTGGTATTCATTAATGAAAGTCATAAAATAACTTGTACTAGATGGCCCAAATCACAGAATAAAGCTGAAGAGTGGATTAGCTGACATTCCATACTAATATAATTGTTTATGATTTCTTTAAATTAAATAACTAAAAGAACATAAAATCTCAGAAGTAGTTTGCTGCTAATATATACATATGTTGTATAAAAAGGTATATTTTGGTATTGTTAAAACCCTTGTTGACTTTTCTACAGTGAATGTTTTTTTAACTTGATTTAATAAAAATGTTAATTTTGAAAAAAAAAAAAAAAAGAAAGCATCAATATTTCGGTGCTCAGCCTACTTCATGGTCTAAATCTCATATCTATATGTGACTACTGGAAAAATCATAGCTTTGACTATACGGACCTTTGTTGGCAAAGTAACATCTCTGCTTTTTAATATGCTGTCTAGGTTGGTCATAGCTTTTCTTCATGGAGCAAGTATCTTTTAATTCCATGGCTGCAGTAACCATCTGCAGTGATTTTGGAGCCCAAGAAAATAAAATCTGTCATTGTTTCCATTTTTTTCCCCATCTATTTGCCATGGAGTGATGGGACCAGATGCCATGATCTTAGTTTTTTTAATATTGAGTTTTAAGCCAGCGTTTTCACTCTCCTCTTTCACCTTCCCCAGAGATTTTTGCTTGAGTTGTTTGTTTTTTTGATATTGAGCTGCATGAGCTGTTAGTATGTTTTGGATATTAATCCCTTGGTCACTTCGTTTGCAAATATTTCTCCTCTTCTTTGGGTTGTCTTTTCATTTTGATTATGGTTTTCTTTGCTGTGCAAAAACTTTTAAGTTTAATTAGGTCCCATGTGTTTATTTTTGTTTTTATTTTCATTAGGCAGTGGATCAAAAAAGATACTGCTGCAAAATTGTGTCAGAGAATGTTCTGCCTATGTTTTCCTTTAAGAGTTTTATAGTGTCTGGCCTTACATTTAGGTCTTTAATCCATTTTGAATTTTTTGTGTATATGGAGTTAGTGTTCTAATTTTCATTTTTTACATGTAGCTGTCCAGTTTTCCCAGCACCACTTATTGAAGAGACTGTATATTCTTGCCTCGTTTGTCATAGATTAGTTGACCATAGGTATGTGGGTTTATCTCCGGACTGTCTGTCTATTCCATTGATCTATATTTCTGTTTTTGTGCCAGTACCAAACTGTTCTGATCACTGTAGTTTTATAGTATAGTCTGAAGTCAGGAATCCTGATTCCTCCAGCTTCATTTTTTTCTTTCTTAAGATTGCTTTGGCTGTTCGGAGTCTTTTGTGTTTCCATACAAATTGTAAAATGTTTTGTTCTAATTCTGTGAAAAATGCCATTGTTAATTTGATAGACAATACATTGAATCTATGTATTACTTTGGGTAGTACAGTTATTTTGACAATATTGATTCTTCCAATTCAAAAACATGGTATAGCTCTCTATCTGTTTGTATCATCTTTTATTTCTTTCATCAGCATCTTATAGTTTCTGCATACAGGTCTTTTGCTTCCTTAGGTTTATTTCTGGGTGTTTTATTCTTTTTGATGCAATAGTAAATGGAATTATTTCCTTGATTTCTCTTTCTGATCTTTCACTGTCAGTGTATAGGAGTATCAGAGATTTCTATGTATTAATTTTGTATCCTGCAACTTTACTGAATTCATTGATGAGTTCTAGTAGTTTTCTGGTCATGTCTTTAGGATTTTCTATGTACAGTATCATGTCATCTGCAAATAGTTGGTAGTTTTACTTCTTTTCCAATTTGGATTCCTTTTATTTCTTTTTTATTCTTCTCTGATTGCCATGGCTAGGACTTTCAAAACTATGTTGAATAAAAGTGGTGAAAATGAGCACCCTTGTCTTATTCCTAAACTTAGAGGAAATACTTTAAGTTTTTCACCGTTGAGAATGTTAGCTATCAGTTTGTTGTATATGGCTTTTATTATGTTGCGGTAGGTTTCTGGAGAAACTTCTATGCCCACTTTCTTTTTTTTTTTTTTTTTTTTAATTTTTATTAGTTGGAGGCTAATTACTTTACATCATTACAGTAGTTTTTGTTATACATTGATATGAATTAGCCATGGATTTACATGTATTCCCCATCCCAGTCCCCCCTCCCACCTCCCTCTCCACCCGATCCCTCTGGGTCTTCCCAGTGCACCAGGCCCGAGCACTTGTCTCATGTACCCAACCTGAGCTGGTTATCCGTTTCACCCTAGATAATACACATGTTTCAATGCTGTTCTCCTGAAACATCCCACCCTTGCCTTCTCCCAGAGTCCACAAGTCTGTTCCATACATCTGAGTCTCTTTTTCTGTTTTGCATATAGGGTTATCGTTACCATCTTTCTAAAGTCCATATATATGTGTTAGTATACTGTAATGGTCTTTATCTTTCTGGCTTACTTCGCTCTGTATAATGGGCTCCAGTTTCATCCATCTCATTAGAAGTGATTCAAATGAATTCTTTTTAATGGCTGAGTAATATTCCATGGTGTATATGTACCACAGCTTCCTCATCCATTCGTCTGCTGATGGGCATCTGGGTTGCTTCCATGTCCTGGCTATTATAAACAGTGCTGCGATGAACATTGGGGTGCATGTGGCTCTTTCAGATCTGGTTTCCTTGGTGTGTATGCCCAGAAGTGGGATTGCTGGGTCATATGGCAGTTCTATTTCCAGCTTTTTAAGAAATCTCCACACTGTTTTCCATAGTGGCTGTACTAATTTGCATTCCCACCAACAGTGTAAGAGGGTTCCCTTTTCTCCACACCCTCTCCAGCATTTATTGCTTGTAGACTTTTGGATAGCAGCCATCCTGACTGTATGCCCACTTTCTGGAGACTTTTTAACATAAATGGATGCTGAATTTTATCAGAAGCTTTTTCTGCATCTATATTAGATGATCGTATGGTTTTTATTCTTCAGTTGGTTAATGTAGTGTATCTCATTGATTAATTTGCATATATTAAAGAGTCCTTGCATCCTTGAAATAAATCCCACTTGATCATGGTTTATGATCCTTTAAATGTGTTGTTGAATTTGGTTTGCTAGTATTTTGTTAAAGATTTTTATATCTGTTTTCATCAGTGATATTAGCCTATAATTTTCTTTTTTGTGATATCTTTTGTTTTGGTATCAGAGTAACGGTGGCCTCAAAGAATGAGCCTGGAAATGTTCCTTCCTTGGCAATTTTTTGGAAGGCCTTCATAAGGATAGATGTTAACTCTTCTCTAAATATTTGATAGAACTCTTCTGTGAAGCCATCTGGTCCTGGACTTTTGTTTTTTGGGGGAGTTTTTTAATCACAGTTTCAATTTTAGTACTTGTAATTGGAATGTTCATATTTGCTATTTCTTCCTGCTTTAGTCTTTAAAGTTTGTACCTTCCTAAGAATTTGTGCATTTCTTCTAGGTTGTCCATTTTATTGGCCTATAGTTGCTTGTAGTAGTCTCTTATGATCTTTTGTATTTCTGTGCTGTCCCTTGTAACTTCTCCTTTTTTGTTTATAATTTTCTTGATTTGAGCCCTCTCTCTTTTTTCTTGATGAGTCTGGCTAAAGGTTTATCAATTTTGTTTATCTTTTTTAAGAACCAGATTTTAGTTTCATTGATCCATTCTATTGTTTTCTTCATCTCTACTTTCTTTCTATTCTGATCTTTATGATTTCTTTCCTTCTACTAACTTTGAGTTTTATTTGTTCTGCCAAGCCTCCAAAGGGTTTGAGTTAATTTCATATATTTGATATTTTCTGCTTCTGACCTTGTCTGGGAAAAATAACTTTGGGATAAGGACAAGATGCAAATCTGTGCCTTGAGAGCCCCATGGAGAACATTTCCAAAGTGGTGGCCATCCCCACAAGCTCAG